TTTAAATGAGATATAAATTTATAATTATATTTAGTTTTAAATTATAAGTTTTAAATTAATATATTTTTATTTTAGTGAAAATATCATTATAATTATTATAGTCAATTAAAAAAATATTCAAATGAAAATCTAATTTAATTATATGAATTTACTCAAGATCCAAATACTTTAAATTATATAGTAATAATAAAATATGCATAAAATAATGATTTAAGAAAAAATTTATCAAATTTAGTTAAGAAATTTATATAAAAAAAGTGGATTATTACATAAAAAAACTGTTTAATTTACAATGCTATTTCAGTTTTATATAATTCAATATGATGAATTTTAGTATATTTAAAGCTTTATTAAGGCTGAATCTAATTATTATTGAATTAGTATTTCTATAATTCTTAGATTACATAATTGCTTTATTTCAAAAATTTGCAATTTTAATGCTATTTCTTACATATTAATATACAGTTTCTCACTTCCTTTAGATTTACTAATGGTGATATTAGTATTTAGCATTATTAATTTTGAATAGTTTTTTTTTTTAGTTCTAGTATTCATATTACCTATTTAAGATTCTTATATAATGAATCTCAAAATAATTACTTTCTGTTTTTTACAAATTTTTTTAGATTAAATAAATGGAATTTGATAAATATTGACTATTTGAAAGATTAGAACTTATTGAATCTGCTAATCAAAGATTGATAGAAATTAATTTAATAAATATTGAGATATTTATATTCAAAATTTATTATTATAAATCAAACTTTGCATTTTTAATTTTATTTTTTATTTTTCACCTTAAAGGTTAGGTAAGAGATGTAATAAAACAAGGAAGTTTTTTAAGAAAAATAAAGATATAAATTATTTATATTTTTGAGTTGATAGTAGCAAAATTATTTAAAGAATTATATATTAATTTTTATATATATCTGATTTAAGGAATCCTCTCATTAAACTCAAAAACATTTCTTAATAACTTTTAATATTTTCTTAAATTTTGTACTAAAATATATTAAATTTTTTATATATATCTGAGTTAAGAAATTTTCACATTAGACTTAAAGAATATTTCTTAAATAGCTTTCAATATTTTTTCAAGATTTCTATAAGTATTTTAAAAAGTAACTATGTTTATGCATTTAGTAATTTACGTTAGAGAAGTTAAAATAATATAAGATAAATTGTTTCCTTTATAAATTAATTTATATTTATTAATTAATTAAATACAAGTTCATTGTAAAATAAAAAGTAAAACTATGTGAAGCTGAGTGTTTTATATTAAATTACTCTGAAAAATATATTATTATTAATTAATATTGTTTATTAATTTATACAAATACAAAATATATGTAAGTAATATTTTCACATATAATTTGTAAGATATTAATTTATTTGATTATTAAAGAGTTTTTTGGTAATTATCATTATATTTAATTAATTTTATGCAAATTATCGTCATTTTCAAAATGGTATGATCAGGTGATTTATCGATCAATTAAAAAAAAATTGTAAATATTAAAAACATTTGAAAACAACAAAAAAAAATTAAAAATACTAGAAAAATATTTAAATAATACTTAAAAAAATAAAAAAGTAATATTAAAACACAAAAAATAAATGTTACATTAAAAATAACAAATTATATAATAAAATTAAACAATTTTTTCATTCTTATTATTGAAAAAATAAAAAATCCTTCTAAAAATGAATAATTCTCTAATAATTTAAAATATCAAATATTTCTAAATATATTTACAATAAGAACATATTAGATCTATGAAAAAAATTAACAATTATTGCATTTTTCTAAAAAATCAAAAATTTCATGTTAGAATAAATTATTATAAAAATAATAAAGGCTCATTCAAAAAACTATTTCTCATTACTTAAAATATATTTTATAAAAAAAAGATAAGTATAAGCTAAAATGAAGCTTTTAGAAGAAAACTTACTTAGAAATCATAATAGGAATTTCACTAATAATTTTAATAATTACTAGGAAATCGTTTTGGAATCACTAGAAAGCTAAGAATCATTTTATAAGTTAAAAGAAACTTTTATATATTCAACTTACTAATACACAAGGCTCAAATACTCTATATTATGAAAGTTAATAAAAGTTAAAAAGTTTTGAAAAAATAGTTTCTTTAAGAATGTTTTTTTAAAGTTTACTTTAGTATAATCTAAAAATCCTTTTTTTATTATAATTGATTGATAAATCACCTGATCACACTATTTTGAAAATGACAATAATGAAAATTATGTAATAATAGTATTAAATAGTAGTAAAAATTCTAAGAAATATTTTATTAGAATATTACTACGCTTGTATGCAGAAAAAAATCTTGTGAACTTTGCTTTACTATAATATTAAACTTAATTTTCCTATAGATTTAGCAATATTACATTAGTTATGTGATCAATTAGAAATTAAACTAATTTGTTAATCTAGATAATAGTTTACCTGTTATAGAGTCAAGAATTTATAAAATTATTTTTATATGATATTTCAAATAAATAATCAAAAAAAATTCTATTAAACAAAAGAATATATTAGATAAATATTTAAATAGTATTTAATCTTACGCTTAATTTATCAAACTTAGGGTAATAATAACTTAATAATAGGAAGTAATATACAAGAAATTACTAAGTTACTATGGAATAAGTCCTATCACAATCAATCTTAGGTTTATACTTTAGACGAGTAAAATAACTTTAATAACTTATATTAATAATGAACATGATTGATACGTTAAAAGATTTTAATATGTGTGTAGTTTAGAAAGAGATTCTTTTATTGTAAAGATTTGTATTCTTAGTAATTCTTAACCTTAGATTCTAAGTCTTAAACTTGAACTATTGAGTTATCACTATTATCTTTGCCTTTTACGAGGATAATTTTCTATTTTATTTATATAAAAATATAATTATAAGAAATTACTATCTAACTTATAATATTAAAATAAATATAAAAGATAATTTATAATTTAGCTATAATAATAATATAATAAATAATAATAATAAAATATGGGAATAAAGTAAATAAAATAAAAATGTTAATTAAGTTAAAAATGCTAATGATATTAATAACATTGATCATTCATTAATCTTTATAGTGTAATAAGATTAACTTTACATGGTATCAATTTTCTCTTCTAAAATTTGCAGCTCCTACAAAAATTTCATAGGCTTCGTTAATCAAGTCATTAAACTTTTAAGATTTGAAATTATAATCATTCTAAGAATTATCTTTCTAGTATATCCAATTTGTATAATTTTTAAAGTGTCAAATAAGTCTATTTAGAGGTCTACTGATAATACAAGATCATTTAGTTCTTATACTGAGTTCATTTAGCTAAACTTGAAGTTTTTATCTCTATTACTTGTTTAAAATAAAATGTATTAGCTAAGGCTAATACTCTATTCTTTAACCTGATAACTCATAATAAAGTCCTATAAGTTATTTTAACTTTTTGTACAGTCGAATTAGATTTCACATAAGGTAGAGGGATATTAGTATATGCTAGAATATTAACAACTATTAGGTTATCTTTAACTTCTTAGAATAAGGTTATCATGTTAAAAATTTTTGGGAAATTACCAAAGAACTTCAATCCTTTATATAATAATTTGAGGCTTTTAATTTTAACGATCATGATAAGGTTTTAATAGATTTCTATTTATAGGTAATAAAAATATTTTCTTTTTAATTGGTATATAGGAGAGATGCAACATTACCCTTAAACGATCTTGATGATCAAAATATTACATTATTAAAACATTTTTAAAATTTGATTGATCAATTATCACAAACTAGAGATTGCAAAAAATTGTATTGCAACTACACAATATAAGCAAAAGAATCATCATAATAGACAAATTGATTATCTTTATCAATTTAATATTAGAGATAAAGTTTTTATTATGATGCAGCTAAAGATAAACAATGGTTTGGCAAACTAAATCCAAAATGGAAAGGACCTTACTATATCTATCAAGTTTTAATAACTGGATGTTGATTCTAACGATCACAGATCTACAAATGTATAGCAGAATACAAAAGATCGATAATGTCAAACATATTAAACATGTTTAACATATTTAATATAGTTAATATATTTAATATATCAGATATGTCTAACATAGTTAACATAGTGGATATAGTTAACATAGTTAATATAGTTAACATAATTAATATATTAGATATGTCAAAAATATGTAATAGAATAGATATAAATACAAGCCCTTTTGTCAGTTAGAAAAAGACAAACCGATGGCTGTATAGAAACCTTTCTTTTATAAAAGATAGTTCAATATTACTCTTCATTTTGTGTACTTCTATTTCTTATTCTATTTTCTTATTTTTTTTATATATTATTATCTTATTATTTTCTTTCTACTTTAAAAAAGTATTTCTTATTTCTTACATAAAACTTATCGTGAATTACTGTGATAACTCTTGACTTATAATTAAAGTCACTCACATTTAGTAAATCTAATTCAACTTGATAAATTGGTAGTAAAATAACTGAGATTCAATGTGAAACTAATTAGAATTATATTTAGACTATAAAAGAGTCAATCTTTGAATATTATATCTAACAGTTGCAACCTGAAAAGATTGCACGTTAACATTTAGCAATAATGACAGGATCCTTTTTTTCTATTTATGTATTATAGTAAAACTGAAATAACTATTGATGTATTTCCATAAATACATTTCATTCATTTGATGATCTATTCAAGTATTAGAAAATTCATCATCAGCTGTACGCTAAAATCAACTGTAACATTAAGACTGCAAAACTACTTATTGAAGATTCTTCTTGTCGATTTCTCTGAACTTTTAGAAGCCTTTCAAACTTTCTTTGATTGGACTGTTGACAACTTTGAAGCATAATAGTATACTGATAAAGGCGTAACTACATTTGAACAAGTTATTACTATGTTAAATATTAACTTCCAATGAGTATACTTTTAATAAGCTTTGTGTTCTTTACATTATAATTGACTATCTTCTACTACCTTAAATCAAGCTACTAGATTGTATATTGAAGATTTAAAGAAAAATCATTATCAAAAAACTGCACAAATGATAAATCTAAAAACTATTACCACTACTCAGTTAAGTGTAAGTCTGCTGAAGAAAAAAGAAAAAGTTCTTAAAACTTTGGAGATAATTTAGATACCACTAACTTTGACTCAAATTCTAGATACAAACCTGATATTAAAAGTAGCAATCTCTCTCGTTTTAGTAATACTAGCAATGTAAGACTAGAAATGTAGCTATAATTTTAGTAGCGTAAGATTTGACAATTGGGGTATTAGTTCTAAAAATAGAAAACTATATCAATCTTATCTTGTTTCTGACTCTAAAAATAAAGATAATGATGATGCTAAATCCCTAATGCAAAAGGCAAAAATAGATAAATAGACAAAACTATGCAAATAGAAATAGGTAATAGAAAAGATCACAGAAAAAGTCACTGCAGGCAATCATGATGACGTTCTCATTATAATAGTTCCTCCTTTAGCTTAGAGTCTAGTGATAGTTTTCTTAAAAGTGGAGACAAAGTTGATCCAATCACTGAAAATATTAATAATGTCGATTTGTCTGATGAATCTCAACACTTTTAAATGCTAAAGGGATTACAAGATGTCTTATATTTAGTAGGATTCTCAGATTCAAGAGAAGCTAGATTTGTAGATCTCTCTACATTCAAAGGAGGTAATTAAGATTCTAGTGATTGGTTAAAATGATACAATCATACTTGTGAAACAAATAGCATCTCAGATAAAAGAAAATTAACACTAGTACCATCCTTCATAAAAGGATCAACTCTCACTTAGTTTAACAAAACAAAATTTAAAAAGGATTTATATTATTAGAATAATAATAGTAATCAATAACATAAGCATTGATCTTTTATTTATCATTTTTTCAAATATTATTGCATCACTCATAAATGAACGCAATAGCGATCTGCACTTTGATGATGCAAATAGAAGCCTAGATAATCTGTAGAGAAATATTTTACAGAAGTAGAATCTTTATACCTAAAATTAGACCCAAAATATAATACTCTAGAAGATGAAAAGATTTAACAATTCCTCTAAGACTTACGATCTGAATTTTATACTGCATTTGCTACTTCTGCTTTACGTGACTTAGAGGAAGCAATTGATAGAACTCGCTCAGTTAAAACTGTATTATCTTATAATACTATTTTATTAGGTTATTCGTTAAGTAAAGCCTACTTAAATTACAGTAAGGAATTAAAGGAAGAAGAACAACCTGCCAACATGCAATAAATCATTGACGAAAATAATAAAAAATTAATCAAAAAATTTAAACACTTATTGTCTAATATAACTGTGGCTTTTAGATCTACCAATGACTATATAAATAATAACTAGAGAAATTGATTAAGTACTAATACATCTGAAAATAGTATATGAAACTGTTTTAATTGCGAAAAAGTCAGACATCTTTCTAAAGATTGTAGAGCACTGAAAAATAATCGTAATAATGATGATAAATATCATAACTACAAACAATTTGAACATTTTACAAGGAACTATACTGCTCAACCAAAAACTCTTTGCCTACATTATAAGCAATATGGATATTGGGGAAATTTATGTCTAACTAAAAACAGATTTAGAACAAATAGAGGTTAATGTGCTGCACTTTTATATTATACTCTACTAACAAAAACTTTACTATCACAACCTACATACATAACTTCTACTACTATTTATTTATCATATCCTTATTTAAATTACTAACGGTGTTTCCAGATGGTGAGTACATCAGAAGAAATCAAAACCCCTTAAGAGTGATTGAAGCTATTTATTGTTACACTTATGTGGATGAAAAATCAATATATTTAATTTTAGATTCTGGATCAGTAGGAAGTATGATGTATAAATTATTTTTACAATAACTGAGACAAAAAATAGAAGGTCCTTTTCAAATTACAATGATAAATATCTAAGGTGAACGCTCTCGAATATTAGGACAAGTGATAAATATACCAATTCAAATTGATAACATTAAAATTCCAATGAATATTGATATCACTAAATTTAACGATTATTATATGAGAGGTGGTCAATAGAAAAGGGGGAAATCTACTTTTTAGTTAAAATTTTTTTTATTAGTTCACTCTGCTGAGCATGATCATATGAACAAAACTAGCTTAATAACTAAAATTACTCAAAATTTGTAGATTTCCCCCTTTTCTATTAACTGCCTCCCATATAGTGGTTTGTAACGATTAACTCACCAAGTATCAAGATAATTAATTTGGATAAAGTAGTTTTTATTTTTAAATAAAATGAAACTATATATTAAATTCCAATGATTTGTTAAAAAAAACCTGTATTCAATCAATTTCAACAACTAACACCTGTGATAAACCTTGTAAATGAAGAGTATAAAGAAGAAGTTTTGGTCTCACAATGACATTATGCAGTTTTAGAAGATAATATTAGTCAACCAATCTTTGCTAAAGCTAAACCAGATCAAATTCTAATTTAAAGATAACAATATTCTCTGCAATATTATAAAATTTAAAGCAAAAGTTTGATATTCAACCCCTACTAATAAAAAATGGAAATATCATTAGTAAAGATTAGGAAATTAATATTGGTGTTATAGTCAACTCGATAAGCTAACAGATATATGTAAATTATGTCAAAAAGAATGGGAATACTTGCAATTACTTTCAAGAAAAAACTAAAGATTCTTAAAATCACTGCCTCTTTAGAAGGAAAATAATAGCAATAGTTAACTACCTTCCTTAAGCAAAATGATAATTTATTTGCGGATGATCTATCTCAACTAGAACATACCAATATAGAAATACATCATATACCATTAGAAATAAATATACCATTACATTAAAGAACATATTGAGTTGCTTTTCCTAAATAAGATTTTATCAAAGAAGAAATTGTTAAGATGCTGAAAAACAAATTGATTCAACCATCTGAAAGTCCTTGGGCTTCTCCTGTAGTTTAGTAAGAAAGAAAAATGGTAAGTTAAGGTTCTATGTTGACTATTAGAAACTTAACAGTATAATTTAATGAGACTATTATCCTCTTTCATGTATTGATAAACTTTTGAATATATTTAAAAAAGCTAAATATTTTATACCACTTAACTTAGCTAGTGGATACTGGCAAGTTGCTATAACACCTTAGGATTAACAAAAGACTGCATTTATTTCTAGTTATAGATTATACGAATTTACTGTCATGCCTTTTGGATTAACTAATATATCAGCAACATTTCAAAGACTTATGAATAAAATTTTTAGAAAAGAAATTGGGAAATATGTAACTGTTTATATAAATGATATCATTATCTTCTTAACAACTTTTGAGGAACATCTAGCGCATTTAAAAAATATATTTCAATGACTAAGAAAGGCTGAATTGAAATTAGGATGAGATAAATATAATTTGAAAAGCTCGAACTTGCTTTCTTAAAACATATCGTAAATAAACAAGAAATTGCTTCAGACCCATCAAAAATTAAAAATATTAGAGACTTCCCAATACCTTCTAATATCATTGAACTTCGTAAATTCTTAGAACTTGCTTTATAATACCACTGATTTATACAAAACTTCTTAACAATCACTGTGTTTTTACATCTTTTATTCAAAAAGAAAATTATATACCAATGGACGGAAACTCAGCAATAAGCATTTAAATATTAAAGAAATGCCTCATAACAGCTCCTATTCTTATTTATCCTAACTTTCTAAGAAGTTTCTGCTATTTATTAATAGATCATACATGAGACTAGATGCTGTCTTAACTTAACTAGATGATCAGCAAAAAGAACATATAATTGCATATGCTAGTTAAACTCTTAACAATGCTGAAAGAAACTATAAACTTACTGAACTTGAATGTTTTACTGCTATTTATGTTATAAAACATTTCAGGACATATCTTCTTTATCATTCATTTGATTTAATCACTGACCATGCTACACTGTAATGGTTATTTAATAAACCTGACCCACTACATAAATTTATGAGATGAATTGTACAAATCATGAAATTTTCTTATAATATTTGCTATCACAAAGGCAAAATACATCAAAACGCTGATATTCTTTTCAGATTGCCTTCTTATTAATCAAAAATATCAAATTATAATTAATTTAGAGTGAAAGCGAAAGTGTTAACAGTGTGATTAATAGCTCTAGTATTCAAAATAAACTTAGAATTATATCAAATTTCTATTAATATTTTAACTCAATCGAAATATCCTGACTCATCTACATTTACACAACAACTTTCTATACAAAAATAAGCGAAACATTATACTATCTATAATCAGTTCCTCTATCAATAAATCCTTCAAACCTCTTCTTGTTATTAAATCAACTGAAGTCAAACCCCTTTTACACAACATTCATAATGAATCTCTAGAAGGACACTTAGGATGTAACATAACCTTCAGCAAATTAGTATACAAGTATTATTAGCCAAAGGTATATAACAGAGTAAAGGAATGAGTAAAAACATATGACATATGCCAATAACAAGAAATACTTCAATAACAAGAGCCTTTATATCCAATTTCAGTTAAACAACTCTTTGACCAAATTGGGATTGACTATGTAAGACCACTACTATAAACTAAGCAAGGTAACAAATATATCATTGTTGCTAAAAAGTATCTTGCCAAATGGGCTGAAGCTGCTGCTATACCTAATTGCATTACACAAACTACAGCATAATTTATTATCCAAAAAATCATATATAAACATGAGACCTCAAGAGAAATATTAACTGATAGAGTTACATCCTTTTAAAATGAATTAATAATGATATTACTACATATTATTAGAATAAAACATCAACTTTTTTCACTATATCATCCATAAATAAATGGATTGACTAAATGTTTCAATCAGACCTTATGTACAATTTTAGTTAAATATGCTAGATAACATCAAGGAGAATAGGTTATCTATCTCTTGTCAGCCTTATTCACATATCACACAATACAATAGGAAATAACCAAATACAAACTTTTTGAGTTACTATATAAATAACATACTGTATTACTATTAATAGATCTTTGAGTATTATGACCTACTACAACACAAAATCTACCACAAACAATAGAAAAATATCATTATTTTCTAATAACATAATTGTAACAACGTTGATATAATGCATAACAGAATATTTTGTAATAATAACAAAAATAAAAGGAATATTATGATCAAATACATAAGGGTATAGATTATCAAATCAGAAATAAAGTGCTTCTTTTTAATGTTTCACGATCACATGTACATGGAAACAAATTTAAGGATAAGTTTGATAAACTGTTCTATATTCATAATATTATATGATCTGGAATATATAAACTTCGAATATTAAATGAACAAATTAGAAAAAA